ACCTTAGGTGTATGTGGCTGGCGCCTTAGCCACTTGAGCCACAGGTGCCGAGCCAGGTCCAGTATGTAATTCCCCTATATTCTTTTTTTTTTTTTTAAGAGATGGGGGTCTCACTCTGTTGCCCTGGCTGGAGTGCACTGGTGCCATCATAGCTCACTGAAATCTCCAATTCTTGGACTCAAGTGATCCTCCTGCATCAGTCTCCCACGTAGCTAGGGCTGTGGGTATATACCACCATACACGGGTAAATTAAAGAAATAATTTTTTTTTTTTGTAGAGATGAAGGTTTCACTATGTCGTCCAGGTTGGTCTTCAACTCCTAGCCTCAAGGATCCTCCCACCTTAGCCTCCCAGAGTGCTGGGCTTATAGGCATGAGACACTGTACCTGGTCCCCTATACTCACAAACTTTTTCTGAGTCAATCACTGTGAAATTTGTGGGACTCTCAGGCAGTAAGAAGCAAGGTAAATAGGATGTGGCCAAATAAGATTCTTCATTGTTGTTGGAAGTATCGCTCACCCTCTAAATCAATAAATCATGTCAGGTGAATATAAATGCATACTTTTATATGACAGCAAGGCCAAATGTACTGGCCTTCCACATCAGCACTTTTTGCATCCATGAATTCCATCCACCATACATCAAATATATATTCTAAAAAGATAGTTGCATTTATACTGAACATGTACAGTTTTTTCCCCTTGTTATTAATCCTTAAACAATATAGTATAAAAATTATTTTCATTGTATTAGGTATTCTAAGGAATCTCGAGATGATTTGGAGTATGTGGGAGGATATATCCAAAAAAGATTCCATTTTATATAAGGGATTTCAGCATCTGTGTATTTTGGAATCTATGGGGGATAGACGGGTAGCCCTAAAACTAATGTCCCTGAGATATCAACAACTGGCACATCTTACACTGCTAAGTTTAAGATGTAACAATGTGTACAGGTGAATGTAATAGCATTTGTGTAAAAGTCCTATAATTATTTATGAAATATAAAATCTTTCTGAAAGATTTTATAAGAGGCTCAGCACCTGAGGGCGCCAGCCACATACGCTGTAGCTGGCAGGTTTGAATCCAGCCTGGGCCTGCCAAACAACAATGACAACTACAACCAAAAAATAGCTGGGCATTGTGGCAGGTGCCTGTAGTCCCAGCTACTTGGGAGACTGAGGCAAGAAATTCGCTTAAGCCAAGAGTCGGAGGTTGTTTTGAGCTGTGATGCCATGGCACTCTACCCAGGGTGACATAGTGAGACTCTGTCTCAAAAAAAAAAAGAAAGACTTTATAAGAAACTGGTACTATTGGTAGTCAAAAGAGAAGAGAAGGTAGAAAGGAAGAAGGAAGAATTTTCACGATTAAATTTTATGTACCTTTTAAGTTTGGTCTATAGACATTATTAATAAATAAATAAATGCACACATTTAAAAAATAAATAATGAGCTTTTATTCTCCTCAACAACAGAGACTTCAGCCTGGAAGTCGATGGAAATTGGGTCACCCCACTGTGCAGGACACAAGCTGTGGCAGCGCCTGGAGTCCTTCCTCAGATTCCCTTGGACCTGCCCCCCTCTCCCACAGGGGGCATTTCAAAAGAACCATAAACTCATATGACCAGCAGGGAGAAGGACAGTGAATAAGCTTGCCCACCTGGAGTCCGCGCTGTCCAGAGCTAGCACCTGGAAAGAGACGACTCACTCTCCTGGGGGTCAAATTTTCACTGAAGGCGGTAGATTCACAGCTGGGACACCACGTGTCCTCCTCTCTTGGCATCTGGATCACGTTCCGCTCTCCATCTGCATCTCCCTCTGTTCTTTGGCCAGTGTTTGATTTCTGAGAAGGGAATGCTGAACAAGCCCTTGTCACTCTGAGTCGGAACTCTCGTTTGACTTGGAAGACTTGTGCTTCCGTTTCTTCTTCTTTCTCTTTTCTTTCTTCCTTTTCTTATGCTTTTCCTTCTTCTTCTTTTTCTTGTGTTTCTCTTTACAGTCTGAGGAACTGGAGCTGCTCTCATCTTCATCCGAGGTGGAATCCTCTAGTAACTGTTTTAACTGCTGTATCCTGAACATACAAGATTGAGCAAAACAACTATGGTTTTTAACTTTAAAATTTTAGGAAAATATATGATTTTAAAGCACTGTGGGGGAGGGAATATTATAAATAGCCACATCATAAAGACAGAACTTATTTTACTTATTTTTACGTGTTCTCTCTGTTCTGGTTCATTCGAATGCCTGTTTCATTTGACTGTAACCAGCGTATAAGCCATTCTGTGCTCTTTTCCGTGTCCTATACTTTTCTGCATGTTCCCACAGTCCTAATTATAATTTCTAACATGCATACTTTACTAAACCACTCCCCCACTGCTCAATTTCATAATAATCTACTTCCTCAACAATTACAATAGATTAAAACAAACCATTTACCCCATTCTTTTACCCACTAACTACGTCTAAGAATAATTATTAATGGCTCAGACCCTTAGAGACATTAGAGGAAATAAACTAAATCAGATGAAAGAGTCAATTGTAGACACCATGATGTGGGTGCCAACATCAACTACAGTGGTCTCAGGGGCAGGAAAAGCCCACGGCTCTAACCTACCCTAGGTGGAAGAAGGTTGGCCTACCCCTTCCCTCACACGGCTCCTTTCAACCAAGACTCCTGCCCTGCCCTGCCCTTATTTCACAATTCCCCTAATACTGATACGCTTGTTCCAATTTTATATAACTTAAAATGTTAAGAGGATATCGTTATCATCAGGACAACCTCACCTTACGTCCTTTTCATGCCTTTTATTGTCTCGTATGATGTCATACATAGGATCTTCATGTGCCTTAAGGGTCAGAAAAAGTAAATGTTGATTAGGCTTCATGGACCTTTAGTCAAATAAAAATAAATTCCCAAGAAATAGAAACCAGGTTTTTCTGCTCTTTGATATAACCTTATGTTTTACTCCTTTTTAAGAGTCATACATTAGAAACCCGTTAAGGTGACAAAAAGGAATTTGTAATTAGTAAAATGCATGAAATAACTGAATATTCCTCATGAGGAAATAATTGCATAAGCCAGGGCATAATCATACTATAAAACAATACTCATCGCTGGGCATGGTGGCTCACAACTGTAATCCTAGCAGTCAGGGAGGCTGAGGTGGGTAGACTGCTTGAGCTCACGAGTTCGAGACCAGCTTAAGCAAAAAGCAAGACCCTTTTTCTACTACAAAAGAAAAACTGAGGCAAGAGGATCGCTTGAGCTCAAGAGTTGGAGGTTGCTGTGAGCTATGATGTCACGGCACTCTACCCAGGGCAACAGATTGAGACTCTGTCTTAAAAAAAAGAGCAGCACTCAAGTTTAGCAATATTGAGGTAATTCTCTTTGCTCTATGTGGACAGATGACCAAAAGATAGTATCAAGCAAAACAAAAATGCTATAAAATGATATCTAAGGATGACCCATTTAAAAGTACTCAAGGCTAGGCTGGGTGGCTCACACCTATAATCCTAGAAATCTGGGAGGTTAAGGTGAGTGATTTACTTGAGCTCAGGAGTTCCAGACCAGCCTCAGCAAGAGTAAGACTCTGGTCTCTACTAAAAACAGGAAACCCAGCCAGGTGTTGTGGCAGATGCCCGTAGCCCCAGCTACTGAGGAGGCTGAGGCAAGAGGTTTCTTGAAGCCCAAGAGTTTGAGGTTGTTGTGAGCTATGATGCCACAGCACTCTACAAGAAGGTGAGGTCTTGCTCTGGCTCAGGCTGGTCTCCAACCTGTGAACTCTGGCAATCCATCCACCTCTACCTCCCAGAGTGCTGGGATTACAGGGCTGAGCCACTGGGCTGGCCCAAAAGGTTAATTTTTTGAGATTTATCTATAAGCTATGTTGTATAATATCCATAAAAATTAACATTGCACCTAAGGTTTTATCTAGAATAATTTTTGTTCAGATTATGAAAATGAACACATAATTTGAATGCCTTAAAAAGTTTAGAGAATGTCTGTTGACCCCAGTTCAATGTGCAGTTGGCCCTCTGTGTCCAAGAATCGAATGCCTGCAGATTCAATTAAGGATTGTAAATATTCAGAAAACAAAGGATGGTTATGCTTGTATTGAACATGTTGAGATGCTTTTTTTCTTGTCATCATTCCCTAAACAATACAGTATAACAACTATTTATATTAGATTAGATATTATAAGCTAGAGATGATTTAAAATATAAGGGAGGATGTGTGTTACATATAAATACTATGCCATTTTATGTAAGGAACTTAAGAGCATGGATTTTGATACCCAAAAAAGATCCAGGATACAGTTCCTGTGGATAATGGAGGGACAAATGCATGCTGATAGCTCCAGTGTATCCACCTGGCAGCATATTTCATTCGGCAGAAGCAGTTACAGAACAATGAATTAACACCTCTGGGAGGTGACTCTGGTAAAGTGAGTGATAGATACCTAGTAATATTAGATCTGTTTATCACCAAAAGAAGAAATATATGTAATTCTAGCTTATAATTTAGAAAGACATCTAATCTTTAAAGACTAAAACCCTGATTTTAGTTATGAAACATGACTTTTTATATAATAAGTTTCAAAAATGGGAGTTAAATAAATAACAATGTCTTCTTTAGAAAAAGAATCACTGTTCCAAGATATAAGCGATTAATAATTTAGTAAGTTAGTTTACTCTTACAGAGCTAATTTGTCTTATAAATGCAATATGTAATATTCTTTAAGAATAACTAACAGAGGTATAGTTGACAGCAGACACTAGCCAAAGGCTTCTGATAATGTATTTTATACGAACACTCAGTTCACTGGGGACTTTCTAATTCATTGATTTTAATCATCCTAATAAATGTAAATTGACATTGTGGGGTTTTACTTACTACTCTGAACTGTTCTAACTTTTGGTTGCCTTTGATAAAGAAAGGGCATTCTTTGTCGCCCGTTCGGTGACCATACCGTTTGCAACGCCAACCTAAAAACAAAAAAAGGAAATATTTCTGTAAGATAACATAGTTTTACCTAGTTGAAGTAAAGAAGCAGTTGCTTATATGCAAGTTTTTCTTTGACAAAATCCAATGCTAAAAGAAAATGCAATCACTGATGAATCTTCTAAGATCCCAAAACAGAGGTACACTGATTGCTTGCCAAGCATCCTTTAATCTTGTAGCTTTAGGAATAAATTTTCCATCATCAAATATTTGAAAAGTAATCCAACAGTACTGGAACAGATGAATTTTGTACATAAACCTCCATTATGTTTTTGCAAAGTAAATCTTTTTTTTTTTGAGACAGAGTCTCATTATGATGCCCTCTGTAGAGTGCCATGGTGTCACAACTCACAGCAACCTCCAACTCTCGGGCTTAAGTGATCTTCTTACCTCAGCCTCCCAAGTAGCTGGGACTACAGGCACTTGCCACAACGCCTGGCTATTTTTTGGGTGGAGTCTAGTCAGAGGGTGGTCTGTAGACTAGCAAAACCAGCAATACAACGGTGATTATTAGAAATGCAGGGTCTCAGGCCCCCTGCAGTAATGCTGATAAACAATCCAAATTTTAGGAGATTTGTTGGTGACTCACAGGCATAACAAAGTAACCATTCTAGTTAACATAAGAATCGATGAAATCAAAAAAAGTACACAGAAGTATGTGCCTTTTTCCTTCATTTGGAATGGTTCCATGTTGTGGGGCTGAAGTCTTCTATCACATAATAGGGTGGGGTGGTGGTGGTGGTGGTGAGGAAAGACCGTTTAGGAAAAAAAATAAAAAAATTTCTTCCAAAATTTTATATCATATAACCACATTAACACATTGCGGGGGTCCCCATAGGCCTTTGAGCTTAAGCTTAATTAACTTTGTCGCAAAATGGATTTTGGTCTCAACCCAAATCCTCTTATTTTCCAAGTCAATCCAAGTTGGATACAACTAACCAACCTCACCAAATAGAGCTGTGGTTTGTAAGCTTTAAAGGAAAAAAAAGCTACAGACTGAGTAAAGATGGCAGACTAACCATACACATCTTTCTTTCTCTTTCAGAGATTCCATAAAAATGATGACAAAGAGAATTCCATTACAAAGGAATAAGCCAGGAGGTGCACCAAGAATGGCCAATGCCAACCTCCAAAAATCTGTTCTTTCCTTAAAACAGTGAAAATAGTTGGAAATTTGCACAAATCGACTTTTTAAAAAGCTTATAAGTTAACCAAAGGCTTGCTACAATTTGATGAGCATTAGTTCTAGAGAAACTACTAAACGTCAATAAGAACAATGAGATTTCTGGTATTCTAACTGGGTGATTTCCCAACCCACTCTCCCCAGTTCTGTAACAGTGTTAAAATCATCAACAGGCTTGAAGCCACTCAAGGAGGAACACTGAGTTTTGAGTTACTCAAAAGCCTGCACTCCAGAGACTATCACTATTTGACCTGCCTCACAGCTCCCTGGAAAAGCTACACATGCAGGATGTTGTTATTCGATGTTATTTGACTAGTCATGTCATTCACTCTATAAGAAAAGCCTCAGCACCAGGATATTTGCTGAAAACAGTCACTTGCAACTGCTTAACATACAGCTGCTTAAGCCAGCCCTATCAGTTAGGTGAACAAGAATGTAGCCAAAAATTTTAAAGAGGCTGCGTATGGTGGCTCACGCTTGTAACCCTAGCACTCTGGGAACCTGAGGAAGGTGGACTGCTTGAGCTCAGGAATTGGGAGACCAGCCTGAGCAAGAGGGAGACTATAGCTATAAAGTCTCTTAAAAAAGAGAAAAATTAGCCAAGTATTGTGATTGGCACTTACAGTCCCAACTACTTAGGAGGCTGAGGAAGGATAGCTTAAACTCAAAAGTTTGAGGTTGCTCTGAGCTAGGCTGATGCCATAGCACTCCAGCCCGGGCAAAAGAGTGAGACTCTATCTCAAAAAAAGATAAAATAAAATAAAAAATAGACACTTAAGGAAACATCTGGCCACTAAGCTAACTAAGTGGAGGCTTCAGTAGACATATACTACATGAAATACAAACAAGAGAATGAATCCAGGTAGGTTAGCAAAGATACAAAAAGTAACAATGGCTCAGCACCTGTGGCTCAAGTGGCTAAGGCACCAGCCACATATACCTCAGGTGGGGGGGTTCGAATCCAGCCCCGGCCTGCCAAAAAACAATGACGGCTGCAACCAAAAAATAGCCGGGCGTTGTGGCGGG